CTTTGTTCTGCTCCTTCAGCAGGTTCTTGGTCTTCCTCCTCCCTTAGAGTGTCCACCGCCTATCCAGTCACAGTCACAATTACCGCCGGCCTCCCCACTGCCTGCTCCTTCTCCCAACACTGGTCCTACTGGAGGTCTTGCTGAGCGTCGTGAGCCTGCGTCTGTCCTGCGTCGCTGGTTCGTGCTGCTCGCGCTAGTGGTCGCGGTTCGCGTCAGCGTCCTCCTTCTGTCCTTGGCACGCACCGGATGTCTCTGCGTCCGTCCACTGCTCCTCTGCGTGCCCCTTTGCCTTCTCCTCCTGAGTCCTCTCTTCCTGCCCTTGCCGACCCGGAGTCGGACTCTCTTCGTGCTGCCAGTCCTACTGTCACGCGTCTCCTTGCTACTGTCGTCACTGACCCCTCTTTTGAGTCCACTGCTGCGTCTGCTCTTGTTGCTGAGCTCGTCGACTTTGCTGCTCGCTGTCGTCTAGACTACGCTGCTAGTCTTGTTGCTGAGTCTGCGTCTGTCTATCCTCCGTCCGTCGGGGGTGAGTGTGCTCTTGGCACGGACGTCCTTGAGGACACGCAGGAGGAGTTCCAGTGTCTGGCTGCTGCTTCACCTCATCTCGTGTCCATACTGCTTACCCCTGAGGGAGACCTGGATGCACTTGACATCCCGACTCCGCGCTCCTACGCGGAGGCCTTAGAGGGTCCCTACTCCTCTTAGTGGCAGGCAGCTTTGGATGCAGAGATGGCTTCCTGGAAGTCCAAAGGCACCTACGTTGACGCGGTTCCCCCACTTGGGGCGAACATCGTCAGTGGCATGTGGATCTTCAGGGTGAAGCGGCCGCCGGGCTCTCCGCCTGTCTTCAAGGCGCGGTACGTGGCTCGTGGCTTCAGTCAGCGGCAGGGAGTTGACTACTTTCAGACCTTCTCTCCCATCCCGAAGATGACCACTCTTCGGGTACTGCTACACATAGCAGCTCAGCGTGACTACGAGCTTCAGTCCCTTGACTTCATCACTGCTTTCCTGCAGGGTAGCCTGCACGAGGAGATCTGGCTGCGCCGTCCACCTGGCTTCACTGGGACTTTCCCTCCTGGCACCCAGTGGAGCCTCCGACGGCCAGTCTACGGTCTCCGCCAGGCACCGCGCAAGTGGCACGACACACTGAGGACTATGCTTGCGGCTCTTGGGTTTGCTCCCTCTACTGCTGACCCGTCGCTGTTTCTACGCACCGACACTTCTCTGCCGCGGTTCTACATCCTCGTGTACGTCGACGACTTGGTCTTTGCCACTGCTGACACTGCTGGACTCGCCCACGTGAAGTCTGAGCTGCAGAAGAGACACACGTGCACAGACCTGGGTGAACAGCGCAGCTACCTTGGCTTGCAGATCACCCGGGACAGAGCACGCCGCACCATTACCCTGACTCAGTCACACATGGTGCAGCAGGTCCTTCAGCGCTTCGGCTTCATGTACTCCTCGCCTCAGGCCACTCCTCTGCCTACTCGCCACTCGCTCTCAGCTCTGCCTTCGGATGAGTCCGTAGAGTTGAGTGGCCCGTACCCAGAGCTTGTTGGCTGCCTCATGTACCTGATGACCTGCACAGGACCTGACCTTGCATACCCTCTTAGCATTCTTGCACGCTATGTTGCTCCTGGGAGACACCGACCAGAGCACATGGCTGCAGCGAAGAGGGTGTTGCGCTACTTGTGCAGTACGTCGGGCATGGGGCTAGTGCTTGGAGGGCAGAGTCCAGTGGTCCTCACTGGGCACGCGGACGCTTCTTGGGCTGACGACCAGGCTACGCAGCGGTCGTCACAGGGTTACACCTTCAGCCTTGGTTCCGGCTCTGTTTCGTGGCGGGCTACTCGCTCGTCTTCTGTTCTCGGCTCCAGTTGTGAGGCCGAGATCTACGCCGGGGCCATGGCTGCACAGGAGCTTCGCTGGCTCACCTACCTGCTAACCGACCTTGGAGAGCCGCCTCGTTCTCCTCCAGTGCTGTACGTAGACAACAAGGCCATGCTGGCCTTGTGTCGAGAGCAGAGACTGGAGCACAGAACAAAGCACATTGCTCTTCGCTACTTCCTTGCTCGTGAGCTACAGCAGCGTGGTCAGTTGCGGCTTGCGTACGTGGCCTCTGAGGCCAACACTGCTGATATCTTCACCAAGGCACTTGCGCCTTGTGATCATCAGCGCTTCTGTACTCAGCTTGGTCTTGTGCCTGTCTTGCCTCACTTGCTCACTTCTTGACCTTGCTTGTACTGTCACATATATTTACACCTGCTCTTGTTTGCTTAGCCTCTTATATATATATGTGCTCCTGCATGTGAACTGGCCTTCTGGCCTTGAACTTGTGCTCGGAATGTGTGGTGACTTTGTGATCCACCCTGAGCTTTGCTTTGCTTTGCTTGACTGGTCTTGTGACCCCTTGTTCTCCCCCACTTTGCCTATGGGGGTGTGTCAAATTATAATGTTGTCTAGGCTTTAGTGGGGTAGCCCATATGGGGTACACATTTCTAGGGTTGCATATTTGTATCACTTTCATTCCATAGTCATTCATTCTCGTTCTACTTTTCTCAGCGGTTTCTTCGGAGATAACTACTATCATGGGAGCTAGACTACGGGCTAGGCACGGGTGCTCGTGTGATCTCTGCGTTCGTTGGTCCTTAGTCGTTTTCCTAGTGCACACACTACTTGCTAGTTCATGGGGCAAATTGGCAAGAGTTTCACTAGAGAAAGTTGACAACAATGGTACAAAGAATTTGGCATGGCAAGACTACATCAGAGCTAGCATTCAGGTCGGTCGACTGCCAGCACAGCATGGTCAACCGCGTTCCAGCACGGCTTGGTCGTTCGCGCTCTAGCAGTGCAAAGTCGACGGCGTGCCAACGCTGCAGGTTGACGGCGTGCCAGCGTTGCTCCCGCAGAACAACAGCGCACCTACTTCGCAGGTGCTCGCAGATGATTGGCGAGCTAATCCTTGTAACCAGCACAACGCACACACCGTGTCATCCTCGTGCTGACGACTCCACCTGATCCGCCACGTCGACCTCGGGATACCACCCGAGGTCAGCCTCGCCAACATCGCCTGGGCGACTGTCGCACTCTTCCGCAGAGCCTCGTCACCCAGGTAACCTGGTTGACCGGGCAACCACGTCGACCAGCTGCTCCTGTATGTGCCCGTCGACCTTCCAAGTCGACGACCACTCCAAGTCGGCCTCACTAGGTCGACCAGCTTCAGGTCAACGTCACTCCTGGTCGACCAGCTCCATGTCGACCAGCGCAGTCGTCAGCCGACCACTCAAGTCAGCTACCCGAAGTCGGCGTCACCAAGTCGTCGCCGACTTCTAGGCCGACCTCTTGAAGTGGGCGACCTACCAAGTCGGCGACCTCGCAAGTCGGCAACCTTGCAAGTCGGCGCCGACTTCAGGTCAACGCGCCACATCGCCGACCACCAGTTGAAGTCGGCCGCTGGCTTCCCAAGTCGGCGGCATTGCAGTGGCCCCGTGCAAGTCGACGAACCCCGTCGACCCACTCGCTCAAGTCGACGTCACCCACTGCTCCAAGTTGGTTGTACCTCCCGTACACCCAACTACGAAGTCGGCTCCGCCCAAGCGAGGACGGGGCCAACAACAACTCCCGTTGACAGTGTCCTGCTCGCCGCGCGCCCCGGGTGTGTGGTGGTTTTCTCCTCGATGAGTCGCCCCACCTGACCCGCGCCCCGCTCCGTGGGACCCGCGCGCCGCCCCCGCTGGACCCGCGCTACGCCGTGCGGGACCCGCGCGCTGCCCTGCTGGACCCGCGCGACGCCCTGCGGGACCCGCGCGCCGCCCCCGCTGGACCCGCGCGACGCCCTACGGGGCTCGCGCGCTGACCTGCGCGCCGCCCCTGCTGGACCCGCGCGCTGCCCCGCCGGACCCACGCGCCGCCACTGGGGGACCCGCGCGCCGCCCCTCTTGGACCCGCCTACCGCTTGCGCCCTGCCTGTTGCGAGCGCCCCACAGCCCGCCCGCGCCCTGCACGTCGCGACGCCGCCCGCCCTCCCCCCTCCTCCTTCGACTTTGTGCTGCGCGTGCAGCCGTGTGGAGGGTATGGGGGTGGCGGGGGTAAGGGGGGGTATGGGGGTGGTGGGAGTGCGTGACCAGCTGCCCCTCCTCCTCCTCTCTCTCCCACTTCTGCAGCTGCCGCTGAGGGGGGGATGGAGTGGGTGAGGTTGGGGAGTGGCGCTAGCCGGGGGGGATGTGAGAAAGAGGTTGGGGGCAATGGGGGGAGGTTGAACGGAGGTAGCTGTTGTGGAGCCAGCAGCGCCAGTAGTCCGGATGCCCTTGCTCCAGTAGCCAGCGAGCCCGTTGCGCCAGTCGCCCGTGGGTCCGTTGCTCCAGCCGCTCGTCTTAGCCGCGGAGCCAGTTACTCCAGTAGTCCGGGGCCCTTGCTCCGGTAGCCAGTGCACCAGTTGCTCCAGTCGCCCGTGTGCCAGCAGTTTCAGCAGCCGCCTCCAATCTCCTCTCCTCTTATAGTCCCTCCTCCTCCTCGCGAGCCCTCTATGTCTGCCACTAGCTTTTACTTGTGCTTGTGAACTCATTATGCGACTGCTTGCTGTGCTAATTATACCCCAATTTACCTATGGGGGTGTGTTAGAATGTTATATTTGTCTAGTCTGCAGTGGGATACTCCATAGTGAGTACAGCCCTGCTAGGGTTTGCTATATGTATCCCATTGCTTGCTAGTGAAACCTCTCTTCTGCTGTTCTCTTTCTGCTTGCTATCTTAACAGTGAACGCCCACAATTTTCCCCCATTTCGAATGGTTTCATGGCAACTGGAAATGAGGAAGCAATTTCTTCCCCGAGCAACCATCCCCCCTCATGCCATCCCATCGCAATTCACCATTTCACAGGTAATTGCCTTGGGATGGCGATGGGATTGGTTGGCAGGAGGGGAGGGATAAAGGTGGGGAGCGTGGTTCCCGATGCCGTTGCCACGTTTCCCATTTCAGGCGCAAAATTTTGCGAAGTGGCATTCAGCCCAAACCTATTCCCCGTGTTCCGACCCCGGTTCCTGATTCCACGGCCATCCCAATGCCGTCGTTTTTTTTTTTTTTTTTTTTTTTTTTTTTTTTTTTCTTCTTCTTCTTCTTCTTCTTCTTCTTCTTCTTCTTCTTCTTCTTCTTCTTCTTCTTCTTCTTCTTCTTCTTCTTCTTCTTCTTCTTCTTCTTCTTCTTCTTCTTCTTCTTCTTCTTCTTCTTCTTCTTCTTCTTCTTCTTCTTCTTCTTCTTCTTCTTCTTCTTCTTCTTCTTCTTCTTCTTCTTCTTCTTCTTCTTCTTCTTCTTCTTCTTCTTCTTCTTCTTCTTCTTCTTCTTCTTCTTCTTCTTCTTCTTCTTCTTCTTCTTCTTCTTCTTCTTCTTCTTCTTCTTCTTCTTCTTCTTCTTCTTCTTCTTCTTCTTCTTCTTCTTCTTCTTCTTCTTCTTCTTCTTCTTCTTCTTCTTCTTCTTCTTCTTCTTCTTCTTCTTCTTCTTCTTCTTCTTCTTCTTCTTCTTCTTCTTCTTCTTCTTCTTCTTCTTCTTCTTCTTCTTCTTCTTCTTCTTCTTCTTCTTCTTCTTCTTCTTCTTCTTCTTCTTCTTCTTCTTCTTCTTCTTCTTCTTCTTCTTCTTCTTCTTCTTCTTCTTCTTCTTCTTCTTCTTCTTCTTCTTCTTCTTCTTCTTCTTCTTCTTCTTCTTCTTCTTCTTCTTCTTCTTCTTCTTCTTCCTCTTCTTCTTCCTCTTCTTCTTCCTCTTCTTCTTCTTCTTCTTCTTCTTCTTCTTCTTCTTCTTCTTCTTCTTCTTCTTCTTCTTCTTCTTCTTCTTCTTCTTCTTCTTCTTCTTCTTCTTCTTCTTCTTCTTCTTCTTCTTCTTCTTCTTCTTCTTCTTCTTCTTCTTCTTCTTCTTCTTCTTCTTCTTCTTCTTCTTCTTCTTCTTCTTCCTCTTCTTCTTCCTCTTCTTCTTCCTCTTCTTCTTCTTCTTCTTCTTCTTCTTCTTCTTCTTCTTCTTCTTCTTCTTCTTCTTCTTCTTCTTCTTCTTCTTCTTCTTCTTCTTCTTCTTCTTCTTCTTCTTCTTCTTCTTCTTCTTCTTCTTCTTCTTCTTCTTCTTCTCCTTCTTCTTCTTTTCTTTTCTTTTTCAAATTGTCGTGTGCTGGCGAACACCGCCAGTGTGTTTTGACGCGAGCTTGATAAGAGGTTGGCCTGATAAGGGGCCGTAGGAACATGCCCTAACATGGTATGAGAGCAAGTTTGGATCTGCTAAAAATCAAGTTCCGCAAATATGTTATAACTATCTGGCGGTACATGCATTTATCATGCCAGGCGCTGACAGCAGGGAAACGGGAGAAAATCCTGTTAATCAACCCTCTAATGTTACCCCAGGATTGACATTTGTTGATCCTGCTCCCATCAAGCCACTAATCACCCGCATCAACGTACTGGAGACTCATCAACCAAGGAACGTTGACGACTCCAGCTACGCCAGAAGGCTGTTGAGGCTAAGCCCTACACGCGTCTGGTTTCGCATGTAGCATCTCAATGCGAAGTAGCGAGATTTCGCATACCGCATACCAGAGCTTCGATACAATCCGATTTATGCAGCTCAGAATGCATAATTCAACATTAGACTAGATTGGAGAGAAGTGACGACATTGCACAAACGAGTATTTGAAATTGTCTGTGTTGCAAGGACCTACGCAATTACTCCTGGGCAGGTAGAAATACACATGATATTATTTTCACCTGGCGGTGCTAGCCTGGAACCACATACTAGAGTAGGTGCTTGCACGTTCTCCTTGAACAAAGTACTTCATGAACAACGTTCTCGTAGAACGTTCTTGCACACGTCACTTTGTTCTCCATAAGGTTCATGTTGTTTCTTTTGTAATCAATCTTTAATCAAGTTTGGCATCAGTATTCGGTTTACAAGTATCCGGTTTGCGACTCTGCACCTAGGCTCTCCCATATCGCCTATTCTTCGCATGGTGCGATGAGCGTGGACGCACACGCGAACTTCAGATAGCCTCGTATACGATTGACAGAGTTGTCAACCTAGGGCCAGCAGTCACTTCGATTCCGCATGGCTGGCAAGGGTGTCGCTGCGGAAGTCTTGGACGTGCAAGCGCAGGTGGCTACTTTGCGGGAGCGCCACGGCGGTGGCGAAATCAGCACCGATGATCTGGAGCTGATGATCGAAGGAGCTCGCGCGAAGTGGGCTCGCGATCACCCACCTCCTCGCGCTGAGGCGGAGATTGAGTCCGCTTCTCCCCGTGCTAAAGACAACAACGTCAATCTCGATGGCAATGAAGGCGCAATGGTTACGCGTGGAGTACTGCGAGGCCCCGGCAAAGTGAATACCACGAGCGTCGGTGGAATGCAAGGGCAAGTCCTTCGGTCTGCCGCCGCACCGTGTGCGCGTAGTGGTGCGCACAGTCGTTGCAACTCTGCACGACGAAGTGGTGACGGATCCTCTTAGGCGGCAAATGCGTCAACTATACGCGATGGTGGCATCGCTCCGAAATACGGATACTTCAAGTTTTTACCCGACAAGATTGTCATGCCAAAACTGTTTGAAGGGCGTCACGATTTGACAACGTGGGTCGAGTCTATTGAGCCGCAGTTGGAGATCGCGCAACTGAAGAAGTTCGTTGACCGCACGGCAGAGATGCCGCCTAAGGAGGACATCGAGTGTCGCGCACAGTTTCATTCTGACACCAGAGAAGGCTGGGACGGAATCACTCGACATCCTGCAAACACAAAATAACAGGAGCCAACAGTCACGGAAGTAGAAGCGCGAGAAGACATTATTGTCAACATGACATAACATGCAACAAAGATACCTGCTCATGAGGAGGTAACGTCACCAAGTTCGGCCCACACGTCATTCCGGTCACCACCGACAAAAGCAACTACTATCACATCAACACAAGGGGAGCACCAATCTGCGGTGCATCTGGAGAAGATGCCATTGGTCAAGCCGAAGAAGAACACCTCGTTGTGAACAAAGCTCCATAACCCTATCAGGGCCCGCAATTGCTCATAGTGACGGCCGACTCAAGAACCTTTGGCGATTATGACGATGTGCTGTGCAGAACGAGGCTCGAGACTCTCCACGCTACAACCATTCAAGTTCTCGCACCAGACGCAACAGACAAAACAAGAAGTCCAACTGCAGCAGACATATTGGCACAGGAAAAACGTCTATACTCTTGGACATGCAGACATCGCGCTGAAGCAGACATCTGGCACCAAAAGACTGGGACATCCATCCGTCAAGGCACTTAACAACTCGATTACTGCCCAAGTGTTTCCAGAAGACACGATGCTGCTACCACACGGCAACAAACTCCAACCAAGTACGGACATACCCAGCTGCACCGTCTGTCCAGAAGCGGCCGTGGCGCACAAACCCTTTCTATAAGAAAATTCCCAGCCCCGAATGATTCGAGCTGGTTGATAAGGTTTACAGCGACTTCTTATGCCTCACCGCTCGCGGACTTAAAGGGGAGTAATATACATTTGCCTTCATCCACGCAGCTACGCGGTTTGTCTGGGCAGTGAATGTTTCCAGCCGCGACCTCGCCTTCGACTACTTCTACCTGTGGCTGAAAATGGCGCAAACACAATGAAGGCACGAAACAAAAGGTCTTTCAAACAGACGGAGCAGCAGAATGCACTAGTGAAAGGTTATGGAAGTTTTGTGCTGAGAAGGAGATCACAAGGATGATCTTGTTACCCTACCCTCCCGAGCAGCATGGACTGGTTGAAAGAACCAACCGGAGTCTCACGACAAAAATGAGGGCCCTCATGAAGCTATCAGCCATACCAATTGCTAACTGGCCCTACGCAATGGCTCATGTTGTGCGTCTGCACAAAAGTTTGTCCTCAAAGGCCCTGCCCAACAACAATTCACCATTCAAGAAGTGGATAGGGGAAAATTGGAACATACGAATGTTACGGGTTTTTTTGTGCATGGTACAGTACCGCCCCCACACTGCCCGAACTGGAAAACTTGAGGACCGAGCACGATGGGGCATCTACCTCGGCATTGAAACAGAGTACCATGCATGGATCATCGTCCACTTCGCCACCCACCAAGTCACGCGTTCAGGTAACCACATCTGCTACGAAACGCTCACGCTGCCACTGTTTTGCTAGCACCGCACCGTACAGCAAGTACTAGACAACATCTTCCAAGAGGAGCACAGCTTTGCGATAGACCAGGATGAAGGTGACGTGGTAGAAGTGGAGGAGAATAAAATCGAAAGCGAGCTACCCGTGATCCCTGTTACAGAAGACTTCGGTGACGACAACATATTCGGACTCGCCGTCGCAATTCACGGAAAGTAGTAGTTCATTGAGCCCACGACGGTTTGCCAGGCTCTGTGGGGACCCGGGGCAGAGAAGTGGAGAGCAACCATGGCCGCCAAAGTATGTGCACTCAAGAGACGCGACACCTGGAAACTAGTACCACGATCAGCAGCAAAGGGGAGGAAGATTCTCAGCGGAAACTAGTATCAAAATGCTGGTGGATGGCTCCTGTTGGTGGTTTCAGCCAATCCCTGCTGCTAGTGAGCGTAGGGAAGCGAAATCATCTTCTTGATCCCCTTCTCTACGCAGACCTTGCGAGACACTGGTATCTTCTGCTGCTCTGTCTGTTTGGAAGGCCTTGAGTTTTTCCCTTCCGATTGTGTTTGCACCATTTTCAGCCACAGATAAAAGCTGTCGAAGCATGTAGCGGCGCCGATGAAGGTTATTGTATAGTACTCCCCTTCAATTCCACGAGCAGTAAGGCATAGGAAGTTGCTCTAAACCTTGTCCAGCGGCTTGAAGCAGTCGGGCCCGGAAATTTCCCTGGAAAGGGATTGTGGGCCAGGGCCATTCCGAGGCAGACGGTGCAGGTGGGTATGTCTGTCCTTGGTTGAAGTTTGGTTCCGTCTGGCAGCATCAACGTGTCTTTTGCAAACACATTGGCGATTATCAAAATTTTGAGTGCTTCGTCTGATGGATATCTTTGTTGTTGGTGCCAAATGTCTGCTTCAGCGCAATGTCTGCGTGCCCGAGCATTTATATGTTTTTCCCATGCTAATTTGTCTGTTGCTGTTGGGCTTCTTATTTTGTCTGCAAATGCGTTCATTGTGAGGACTTGAACGGATGCAGAGTAGAGAGTCTCGAACCTCATTCCGCGCAACACGCCATCGGAGTCGCCAAAAATTCTGGTGTCGACCGTCACGGGAAGCAGTTGACCGGGTTCTTGAGCTTTACCCTCGTCAGGAAGTTCTTCTTCAGCTTGACCAGTCGCGTCTTCTCCAGATGCACCGCCGAGTGGTGCTCCCCTTGTGATGAGGCGATAATAATTGCTTTCATCGGTGGTAACCAGAAAGATGTGTGGGCCGAACTCGGGTGATGTCTCTTCCTCAGGAGTAGGTAACCCTGTTGCATGTTTTGTCAAGTCGACGGTAACATCTTCTCGTACTTCCACTTCCGTGACTTCGGCTCCTGTTCTTCTGTGGTTGCAGGTTGCCAAGCGAACGCGCCCCAACCTTCTTCGGTTTTAGTTGCTTGTTGAGGCGGAGGTCCCCATCCTGTTTCGCGTGTAGCCCATTCGACGTCCACCGTGTCCCAGTCAGTAGCCACGTCCCAGCTTGTAGGTTGTTCCACCCTTGGCTAGGTAGATCCTTGTCCCCATCCTCCTTGACTTGTAACCTTTTCCTCGATAACTTGTGGTCCCGTGTCGCCGGGGTTTGAAGGTCAACGGATACTTCTTCCTCTTCGGCATGTGGGTCCCGGAACATGTCTTCCAAGTTGTGGAAGTAGCGATAATAACGCCCGATTCATGGTGGACCACGACGCATAATGTAAGTTAAAATTTTGCTATTTCCTTTGTCGTTGTCGGGAGGAATGCGTGAGGGAGCTTGTGAAGTGCTGGCAACGGCAGGCAGAGAGATGGTCTGGTTCCGCGTCGGAGGATCTTGGTAAGTTTTGACAGCTTTATGATATGATGCAGACCCTGGTTGTTCTTGACCGCGATTATTGTTGTAGTTGCCATTATCCACTGCCTTTGGCTTGTAGCATTACTTGATGGTATGTCCCATCTTCTTAAAATTATTGCAAAACAAGTTCCGTTCATCTGGTGCTGCTCCTCCACTTTCTCCGTTAAAAGCGATTCTCTCCTTGTTACCTCTTTTGTTGTACAAGTCGATCTCCTGCTTCTTGGCGAGGAGAGCCATGCAGAGAAAAGTTTTGGGGATTGTGCCTTGAGCGCGAAGAAGTGACTTGCACTGACGCCAATCCGGACCCAGCCCAGCGAGAATGATGGTAACAAACATATCGCCAGGGAAGTGACTGCCACGTTTCTTGAGCTGGTCTCTCAAATTTTTGCAGCGGTTGATGTATGCTTCTGCTTTCTTGCCAGGAAGCATTCTGACGTTGTTGAGCTGGCTTAGGAGACGACTTAACGTCACTCAGACCGCTGCCATATACATTGTGCGCAGATATTCCCAAGACTGTTGTGCGGGTGCCCACTCA